CCTGTGCTGCTCGGGGGGAGGAGGTAGAGAAAATCAGGAGTAAAGTTAAACGCAGGAAGGAGAGAGGGGTGAGGGGAAGGTGTTTTAAGATTTAATTTTTATTTCTCATTACCCTACTCTGATTTGATTGGCAATAAATTAAACTAAATTCCCCAAGTTGAGTCTGTTTTGCCCGTGACAGTAATTGCAGAGTGATCTCTCCCTGCCCTTATCTTGACCCACGAGCCTTTTGATATATTTTCTCTCCCCTGTCCAATTGAGAAGGGGAGTGATAGAGTGGCTTTGGTGGGCACCTGGCATCCAGCCAGGGTCAGCCCACCACAAGACCTTCTGCCCAAGAGATGGAGGAGTGGTGGGGGGTACTTTCCTTCTGGTCTCACGTAGCCAAGGGTGAGCCACCTTTGGGAGGACGGATAGGCTGGGTTACCTGGCAGGAGCACTTGCAAGCCTCGCTTTTCATTGTTCTTTGAAAGCATAACACCCTTTCTTTCTCTAAACACAACCAACATGATTGTTCCTTGGCCCATGTAGTATCTCTGCTCTGAAATGATAGAATCATAGAATCATAGAATCGTTTAGGTTGGAAAAGACCTTTAAGATCATCCAGTCCAACCATTAACCTGCACAACCAAATCCACACTAAACCAATCAAGGGTTCATCATCATGATGACCGGATTTACATGGGCAGTGAATGTACAGGCTGTGACTCCCAAAGTTTAATGTTACAGCATCTTCCTGTGAGCGTGACAGGGTGATGGGGTGAGGATGAGGAGGAAGACTGGCTGGATATGTGTTATGTACCCGCAGCATCCAGCTCCTCTGAATGGTTTCCATGAGCTCTGATTTAATCTCCTAAGCTTTTACTTAGGTTTTCACTTCTCTGTAGGAACGTGGTATTTCTGAAGTGCCTGACTGACAGAGGAGGATTTAAGGAAGAAAAAGGTAGAGCCGGCTTCCAGGCAGTTTCACTAATTGCAGCTTATTATAAATTTAACAGATGAACTGTCAGTTTCTTGAAGGTGTGTGATCACCACAACCTTTTCTTGGATTCTGCACTGGCTAGAGAAAAAAATAACCTCTAAGGTGCTAAGCTAGCGTAGTTCATTTCATTGCTCAATAAGATGTTTCTTGGTTTATCGTTTGCAGGCTTCGTTATTCCTTTTATCACTTCTTTGATAATATTGGACTGTGATCTAAAAGATATCTTTGGTGTGGTTTTTTTATATATTTGTATTTACTCAATGATTATTGTAGGACATATGGAAGCATTTTATTCTTCTCAGAGTCTGCTTCCAGTGAGTGAGGCTTTTGCCTTTCAATAATGTGTGTCATTTTATTAGTTTTTCCCCACAAATGTCTAATTTGATAGGCACAGTAGGACTGAAGTAATACTTTTTATCACTTGAAATTTTTGGGTATTTCAGGGCTTTTGAAACAAATTCTGTGACTTGAGAAGCTAAACATTTCTAAGTAGTTCATCTGTCTGATGTAAGATTTTTAAAGAAGAAATATACATATAGCACTTCCCTTAAAGTTTTTGGAAAGCATCCTGAATTTTCTGGGTTGGTGGTAGCTTTTCCTCCTGTTCTTGTGACACTGTGTATGATGCAATCCTCGTATCATCATACTCTCCCTTTGCATTGTCAAAACCCTACATAAAATCTTTGATTGTCTTTTAATTTAAATCTCTGTATTGGCTGCATTTCTGTTGTGTGACTTAGGTGGAGGTGAGTGGGTCTAGGCAGCTTTGCTTATACCTCAGCCTGTCAACTGGCCATTCAAAAAGATGTTTCGACCCTGAAAGCTGATGTCTGTATGGCAGCACTGCTGGCAGAGCCACCTCTCCCCCTTTCTTGCCTGATTCTTCCCATGCAAAAAAACAATTTCAGGAGCAGCAGCCACCTGGCCCTCGTCTGGCTTGATCCTTTTGGTGGAACTTTCAGTGGTAGGAAATGGCAGGAAATTCTATGTTTGTTTGAAAGTGATGATGCAAAAAGAGGGAACCACTGAAGTTGAGCAATTTCTAAGCAAGCAAGTAAAAGCATCAACACAGAGGTCAGAAGTTAGGAAGGGCATGGAGGCCAGTAATGATCTTTATCTGCTAAATTTAATTCAGACTTTTTGCTAAATGTAAATGATAGCTTAGGAAAAAACTGCTTGGAATACATAGTAAATGATGTTGCCAGGATACTTCCTGATCATGTTAATTAAACTGTCCCACAGATTTGGCTTAATGACTGCATAATTTGCATTTTGGAAATGGTGGTACGCATGACTAAAGAAAGCTCCTATTCTTTTAGCAGAAAGAACATTGTACATGAATTAATTTTCAGGGGAAGGCGTCTCTAGACTCATACGATGATGTGTCTTGAAAATAAAGTTAAGATTTTTGATAAGGAACTGGCATATATCTCATTCCTTTTTGCAAGATTACATTTTATGCTTGTTCCACTAAGTTCCTTAGAGGCTTCGTGCTAACAGCCTTCCTCATATTGGCTATTTCTTTAATTAGAAGAACCACTGTTGCTTTCAAGGTTGCTGGTGGTGAAGCAGATACTAGTTAACGTGTGTAAAGTGGCAGAATATTTGTCTTGAGGCCCACATTTGATACTGCATGTGGGTTGTGGGTGATGCACTTCACCACCCTCCCAAGTTAAACTCATTATTAAGCTATCAGATTCTCTTTGTCTTGGTTTTTGTGGTTTGTTTTTTTTTTTTTAATTTCTGACATGTCTCAGGCATCCTGCTTGTGGAGGCCTGAGGCCAAATGGAGGAATGCAGAGCTATCTCTTTGCTCTCCCAGTCTGAGGGCAGGTGTTGCTGGTGGACACCCTGCTTGGAGGCCTCAGGCCTTTCCAGGTGCTGGGCAGGGCGATGGGAATAGCCATGTGCCTTTGTAACACTGAAAAAAGAGGATTTTGCATTGGCATTTCTGCCAGGTTAATTTTATAGCTCCTGTCCCTGCTGTTGCTTTGAGTTCGGTGACGTTCCTGCAGCGGTGTTTAACTGCAGGACTGTGACAGTGCTTTGGAAAAAGAAGACAAAACATCAAAATTCCTGCATGAAGTAAGACAAGATAGAAACTGTTTTGTTTTGGGAAAACATCTTCTGAATACAGCAATTTCCCAATTTAGACTGCTAATTGCTTTGGATGATATCGTTGCTAGGATATGCATTTCCGATGTGTCTTCTACTTTTTAATCCTTTTTTGATCTGTTTTTAAACAGGTGATCATAAACAGCACAATCACACCTAACATGACCTTCACTAAAACATCGCAGAAGTTCGGCCAGTGGGCGGACAGCAGAGCAAATACTGTCTTTGGTTTGGGCTTTCCCTCCGAGCAGCAGCTGACGAAGGTACCAGGGCTCACTGATTTTCTGCAAAGGCTGTCTTGTTTCTTATTAATGAAGAATTGCATATACCCATCTGACCTCTTCTGAGCTGCATGCTTCTGCAAGTCCTCTTCATCCGTGCAAGTTGCCCATCTCCTATAATTACCCAGTGTATATACAGAAGCAGGCAGTTATTACAAACTTTCTGGTCAAAACTATAAATTAAATCTGACCGCTGACGATGGTACTAGCGAGGTGATCTCGACAGTATCTTGCCCAGCGTGGCTGAAAGCATTTGTGTTTTCAGATGTTTACAGAAACAACCTGAACTCTGAAGTATTTTTTGGCATCTCCCTGCCCTGTGTGCTCATTTCAGCTGAAAGCGGCACCAAAAGCAAAGGGAACCACTGATATGCCAGGACTGTTGGCATTAGGGCTGCCTGACATCTCTGAAGGAACAGCGTTGCTATCTCAGCCTCAGAAATGTGCGTTTTATGACTTGCTGCCATTGGTAGCTAACCGAGGTAGAGCTGCCAGCCCCTGGGGCTTGCTGGTGCCCTGGTTTTGCACTGTTTGTGGGGCCGGGCTCTCAAGAGGCTCAGTAAACTGATCTGGGTTAAAATAATACTGCATTTTTGGCATTTCAGCTCAGTGGTGTCATTTGCAGCTCTGACCCAAAGCGGTTTTATCACAGACCTGGGGAGGTGATAGTGAGTTGTGGCAGAGACGGGGGATGAGTAGCTGGGGAAGTCTGACGCCAGGTTTGCTGGCAGAGCTGTGTTTTGGAGCTGCACCCCAGACGTGGGTTTGGTATTAATGCAACACTTGCCTGGACCAGAGACTGCCTAGAACATCAGGCTTGTAAAGTCTAGAGCTGCGTCTTGTCATGAATAACCAGCGGTTTAAAATCCATCCTCTGTCATTAGATTAGTTGTCTCGCCAAGTGCTCATCAAGAGCTGAGATGTTTGTTTGTTCATGCAGTAAAAAGACCCTACTTATCTAACACATAGTTGACAGCTGAAGCATGGCTACTTGGCACTGGGTTTTGTCAGTTAGCTCAACATTGTGTCCTTGGGCACAGCACACAGTCTCTCGTGTTGCTGTCCTCTTGTGTGCTTTGATATGAAAAGAATCAGGAGAACAAGATGTTTCTTGTAGTGTCTAAAATAGCAAAGGCAGATCATTGCGATAGGAGGCCCTTTCCATCAACTGAATTGTTACAGGAATTTATTTTACTAAGTCTGTCTTACTGAGTTATTGCAGTTTCCAGAGAATTGCATTTTTTGCAAATATTTCTTAAAAGTAAAGCGTATTTTACTTTTCACATCAAATTATTTTTGGACTTGGGATGTCAGTAAAGGTGCTATGGCAATAATCTGCTCTTCTGGGATGCTAAGACCATCCAACCAATCACATGCAAAACTGTTTTTTAAAAATGAGGTGCTGGTTCTGTTTTATGATGCTTAATCAAGTGTAGAGGACTGCTCATTTCACCTATGCATATTCTCCACCCCTCTGGCAAAGAGGTGTTCCTAATAGCTAAATAAATAGTATGGGAATATGGGACAATTAAAGTGGGCCTAGGGGAATAGTTCGTTTTGAGTAACAGATAAGCATGATACAGTGCAACTTTTAGACACTAAATGAAAGAATTAGCACCATTGGATAGTAATTTTGAATCCCAGATTGCTGAAGTCAGACCACTGCAACGTGACAGGTGACCACATGGTACCTGACTGGGGTTAAACATGCACCATGCACCGCATGGAGCAGGTGGTGCGGAGGCTGGCTCAGGAGACAAGAGGTGTAACAAGGCACGAGGTACATTTGGAGGTCCTTGCACCCTGATCAGAGAGATTTTACCATATTCTCCAAAACTGTCCAAACACATACTTAGAATAAAATTAATGCCGGTATCAGAAAGCAGCTCTTTAATGTTCATGTGGCTGGACTAGAGCCAATCTGAAAAACATGTCATGTGGGCACAGGGGCCCCAGCACCAGCTGTGCTTCTCTCCAGATCGGTTTGCACATCTGTTTGCACTGCAGGATCTGCTGAAGAGCCCACTGCCTGTAATACAGCCTTCTACTTGCAGGAAAAGCTTTCCAAATCAGCAGAAAGACTTCTTCTGGTCAGAATATGGAAGGGGAGCTTAAGGGGAGCACTTCTGAAAATGGCTCGAGTTAATCTATTTGAAAAAAAAAAAAATCTGACAGTTATCTATCTGGAAAATGTTAGAAAACCTGCTTTATTACCACCATGCAAAGCAATGGGACAAAGATATACTTTATCATCCATGCTCTTCAGTTTAATTATTGAACCATTAGTACAAAAGATCAGAGATGGTGGAGAGATTAGAAATATATAAGTGTATTGGGAATAGTGAAATCAAGTTTCGTTTTATGTTGATATCATTATACTCGTATAAAAGATATACATTAAAGCCTGCCAGTTTTACTGGAAATAATTGAAGCTTTTAGTCAGGTATTGGAAGGACACACTAAAACTCCACTAAACCAGAGATCAATAGCCCTGCCTTAAAATAAATAAATAAATAAATAAAGCTGAAAAATGTCTGCTGAAAACAATGACTAATAATGAGACTTGAGAAGAGGTTAGCATGCCTAAAAATGTTTGCATTTTTAAGTATAACGGTTGGCCTAATAAAAGATATTGCCTCTTTCTAATGCCTTTCTACTCTTGAGATACTTAAGCATTAATCCATACCTATAGGGAAAAGAGGTTCAAATTAAACATGAGCCATTAATGCAAACTGCATTCAGTGACCTAGTAACCTAATTACCATTCACATTGATCGGGAGAATCCCAGGACTTGAAGTTGATGTCCTACTCAGGGTCCTTTTCACCTTTTGCGGGACTCGCTGACCCTTCTTTCCCCCCCTTCCCACCCTGTGCCTCAAAAAGGTCTCAAGACATTATTTATACATTGATACAGCCAAATCGAAATAGGTGAGAATTAATGGTGTGCCTGGGTGTGGTGAAGAGGCAGGGCTGGTGCTGTAAAGGTAGTGATGTGTTTTGCACATGAAGCCATTGAGTAAAATTTCTGCTATCATTCAGGATGCTTCGATGCAGACACGCTAGCTGAGGAGCTGCAGGTAGACAAGGGCATAGGGACAAAGATTTATACAGGTGAGAAACCCAGTAAACCCAGACTTTGCACATCATAAAGCAACTGTGTCCAGCATCTGGGGACCACTGGACTTCATTTCTATGCATGTGTGCACGTTATGTGTGCGGTATTTGCCAGGCACTGTGTTGTGGGGGAGAAGCTCGGAGCAGAGCCTGTCCCTGCCCCCGGCACGCAGCCCAGCCCCTGCCCTGGTCCAACCTGCTTCGGTGCTGGCAGCGCGCTGGCTGTGCTAGAGCAAATTATCGGCCGCTTTCTGGAGTAAATAGTCTTGTTTGCTGCCGATCTGCCCGGCACTGAGGGCTCATCCAGAGAAAACCACGGGCAAAGCGACGCGTGCCTTGTGGGTCACGGTACGGCGGTGCTCCCACGGGAACGTCTCATCACCCAGCCTTCTGCAAACTGAGAGGGCGATGAAATATTTATGAGACTGCTTTGGGTGGGAGCAGCTGTTTCATCTCTCTGACGCTGGCACAATTTGTCAGTAGGAGACATAAAATATTATGCCAGATCAGGAGCTTAAAATTTACACATACAAAATAATGCTTTTTAATGTATAAAATGTTAAGAAGGTCTATTTAAATATGTATCTATTTCTCCAGGTGACAAGCTGGCTGCAGATTTGAACAGCCTTTAAATAATCTGTGCAATGCACAGTAGCATCCTTAAGTCCCCATTAAATTTCACTGGCCAAGACTCATAATCAAACAGGGCTCATGGGCTGCAGCAACCTTAGACTAAAACGCTTCACAAGTGTTGGTAGCAGCAAATCTTCTCCATATTGCAGCTTAGTCTCACAGCTTCCTGGGGCTTGGGGAGACACATCATATAATCCCTGATGGACTATTGGAGTGGTGTTTAGTTGGCGTTTCTCCTACTCCAGTCTTTTTTTTGCTAATTTTGGGGAACTTTGTCTGCCCAAGGACAAGGGTGGAGGAAAGGGAAGATAAAGGGAGTAAAGATGGAAGGAGAAAGAGCATGATGGTTTTTTTAGTTGGTTTTGGATATTTATATTTGCATGCCCCTTGAGACCACATTTACCAAGTTTTCATTTACTAAACAGAAGATTATTTCACTTTTTAACTAGGAATTTCACATTTAAAAAGCACTCCCTATTGTTGCAATGGCTTGATAGCTCAAAGTCAACTTAGATCTTGGAGGTGGCACATGATTTTGTAGTATAAATTATTTGTCAATGATTTATGTTTGGGACAGAAGAAATCAGTTGCTGGAGAGGAAGCATCTCTCTAAGTTTTGCCAGCAATTAGACACTGTGGCCATGCCGTCACTCTCAGAGACAGCCTCGGGATCTGGGTAGCTTCAGAAACGCCTGGTCTGCTGCTGTAGCAATTAGTGTTGGTAATGCTACGCAAGTTTGGGCTGTCACCGCTGTGTTGCTGCACTCAGAAGAGTAATCAAGTGAAAGGCTTTAATTTCATAACAAGCCAAGTGATCCTCTGTAGCTTTCAAAAGTAGAGTGTTAGTAAAATCTAGCAGGTATTAATTAGCTAAGAATGAAAAAGAAGCGGCAGCAGAACACTTTATGGACTGACTGTTTCCAAGTGTGGGGGGTAAACAAAAACCAGAGGTGGTCTTTCACCACCATTTCTGTTACAGCCGTCTTTATGTTTGTAACAATGATGAGAATGAAGGGTAATATTTTGACTCTTAAAGCTGAAGATCTGGCACTAAGATGGCAAAAAATTCAGTTATTTGTACTTGTTTCTAAAAGCAAATGCATTAAATACATGTGTTGGTAAACTAGAGACATGACTGAAATCTATTGTGCAAGGAGATCATTATCAGTTTTATACTGATGATTAGCCTGGCTCAGTCATACACAATTTTTTATTATGGAGATGTGGAAAAATGTCATTTTCTTCTCAGCTCACATAATGTTTCACAGCAGTCTCCTGTGTGCTTTATGAAGATAGTCGCAAAAATAAAATTTGATAGATTGCTTCCAATTCTTTTTGTCTTTTCATATTTCATATAGTCCGTGAAGAACCCTCATAAATTTTTCATACTTGCCCGTAAAGATTTATTGTAAAAGAGAGGCTCAAAACAGCCCTTTACTATGTGCAAGAAACCCAAGTGTAGAGCTTACGGTTGATACAATATTTTAGAAATAATCAGTTTGTTATAGCTGTTTTGTCACTGCAGGAGATACATTTTGTGTAAAGTTGGAGTTAAATCACTTAAGGTGAAAATGTAATGTAGTTGTTCCTAATGATCTTTATAGTGCTACAAAGGTAATCAAGTCATTTGTGTGTGTAGTGACTGCACATGCCATCAGATAGCAACTAGTGCCATCCGAGAGCACATACTTTGCATATGCAATTTCAGCTGTTGTGTAGAAAACAGCTGGATTTGAGAGCTCAGTCTTCATTCATGAGCATTGTCATAGATGGTAGTCCACACCCAGAATTTCACTCAGTGCTGAGAATGTGCTCGTCCATGGGATTTACGAATGATGTATGTAGAAATTTCCGTTTGTAGGTGTTATACAAAACACAGGTGCCTCCACATATAAATCCAGTTTTCTCTTAGACCAGATGGAGAAGATTTGTTTTATCAATCTTTATAGTCCCAGAATTTTACTGAGAGAGAGCATGCTAAATACCTGCTGTAAATCTAAAAGTTAGAAGATAAGATTAGTAAGTGGCTAATGATTCTTCCCATTCTTTGACTATAAAATGGGATGTGTGTTCAGGCTTTTATTTACAATTTGTCATAAGTGTTCTTAATTATCTGAGGGTATAATGGCAGTCATTTTATTCACAAACTGTGCAATAAAATAGATTTATTTATATGCACTTTTAATGTGTCTTTCCTTTCTGGTGTTTCAAGTTTCTCAAAACACAGGCAAGGAAAAACAAGCTGCTTTAGCAGGAAGACAAAGTTACCCCTTCTTATACAGGACACATCTTAATTAAAAAAAAATTTTATGCCTTTTCTTTAATCTTTGCAATCCTCCTTTTAAAACTTTCAACACTGTTTAAAGTGTTTAAATCCCTGCAACCCTGACTGTCTGTGATAATTCTTGGATCTAACAAAAGTGTCAGACTGGCTCCACAGCAGATGTCCTACAGCAACTTGTAGAGATTGGGATTGTTACTTTGCATCATCTTTATCTTTCCTTTCCCCTGCCCCCCCCAGCTTGATATAATCCTCTTACAGGAAGCATTCAAGCCTTTCCCTGAAGTCTTCTACCTTTATTTTTGCCAGTAATAAGAAAATTGGACCCAAAAAGCTGTGTTTTCATATGGCCCCATCATACATTCAGATCTCCCTTTTTCTATGTCTTGATAATCCTTTGCTCACATCCTGCAGATATCTCATGAACTCATTTGCGTTCTTTAATTAAATTGACTTGCTTTTAGGAATAGAAGACATTGATTTTTTTTTTAATGCAAACATATGTCTTTTATACTTTCAACTTTAATAGAGTGTCAGCATCGAGTGAAACAGAGGAGGGGGAGGAAATAAACAAAACCAAATCAAACCAGAAGACACTGATAGCTCCCTTTTTTCTCCATGGGTTTTTAGTGTGATAGGCCAGAGGTACAGAGATGTCCCTCTTTTAGAAACACTCCCATTCCTTCTGAAAGAACCTCCCTGCCAAAGAATTAAAGTGTTTTTTCTTGCCAAAAATTTTAAATTATCAAAATTAGTTTTTCACTTTTGGAGATTTATGAACCATATAAATATAGTAATCTGAACAGTTTAATACATGATAAATTGTTTTTAAAAATATCTTTCATGCTTTTTCCAGTTTGCAGAGAAATTCCAAGAAGTAAAAGAAGCTGCCAAACTAGCAAGAGACAGATCTCAAGAGAAAATTGAGACCTCAAGCAATCATTCCCAGGTTTGTAATTTAGCTTTAATACCTGTGTGCATACAGGATAAATAATTTAAAGTTAAATTTTCTAATGGACTGTACCAGCTTCTGGCAGCAAGCTTAAAGTATATAAAATGAAGATTGCCAAAGGTGATTCTCAGCTGCTGAACATTAACGTTATCAGAGGAATATTTTTCATCCACTCATGCTCTTTGCCTTCATTTATATCTATTTTTTTTCAGCAATTCTTGAGCTGTTACAACTTTTTTAATAACAGGGAAAGCTATAAGTCCTTTGATTTGTACTGTTACTGTTACACATACTTTGGGTCACTGGAAAGTAACTCAGTGTAGTGCTTCAGCAGACAGTAAATGAGATTCATCAAGATGCTTCTTTTTGTCATCTGTCTGATCTACTTTCATAGGAGTTCGGTTTGCCAGTGGAGAGACTGACTTTGTGGCCATAGTGTTTCGTTGCCTGGATGTGACGAATTGAAAGCTGTGGTGTGGGAACAGAGGCAGTGCTTTAATGAGTGGTTGGACGAAGCTTGTGTTGCATATTTGTACAATTTTCTAGACAGCACACCTTGATACATCCACGTGCCTCCATATCTGGGGAGATCTGGGTTTCTTACAGATTGAGGAAATTGAGTGCGGTCCCAGTTGTTCTGTATGTTTGACTGTAATTTCATACACATTGCATTAGGTAAGAATGAACCCCGTTCAGTGGGCTTTCTTGGCCTGGGCTAATGTTTGGAGGAAAGTTAGACGAATTTTGATCAGAGACAATCATAGAATCGTAGAATCGTTTAGGTTGGAAAAGACCTTTAAGATCATCCAGTCCAACCATTAACCTAACATTACCAAGTCCACACTAAACCAATCAAGGGTAGACTAGACTAAACCATGTCCCAGAGTGCCACGTCTACCCATTTTTTGAACGCTTCCAGGGATGGTGACTCTACCACCTCTCTGGGCAGCCTGTTCCAATGCCTGACTACCCGTTCCATGAAGAAATTTTTCCTAATATCCAATCTAAACCTCCCCTGGCGCAGCTTAAGCCCATTTCCTCTCGTCCTATCGCTAACTACATGGGAGAAGAGACCAACACCCACCTCACTACAACCTCCTTTCAGGGAGTTGTAGAGAGCGATAAGGTCTCCCCTCAGCCTCCTCCAGGATACACAACCCCCGTTCCCTCAGCCGCTCCTCATAAGGCCTGTGCTCCAGACCCTTCACCAGCTTCTGGTGAGAAATTCAGATGCATGATCAGGAAAAACTTGCTGAATGCTCTTAGTCTTGCAACTAACCCCCTTTGTGGGGTCCACAAATATCGATCTGAGAGGCTGACTTTGGATACTCATTTTTTGAAGACTTTGGTCACAGCCTTTATGGTTTACTTTGTTCTCTGTTGGTGATTAGCACCAAGCAGGCTATGAATGGCGTCTCTTTGGAGGAGCAGTATCTTCTTTAATTTTTGGTTTGAATTTTGTGTGCTTCCAGGTGCACTGTATTGTTTCATTATCTTAGAAAAACAAACAACTTTTAGAAAACACAAGCCTTGTCAGTTAAAACACTTAAAAATTTGTTTGAACACTTTAAACTTCCATTTTGTGTATCATTATCATTTTTACATTCTTTTTAAACACACCAGCTTTGCAGCCAAGATGTGAAGCACGTGTGTTTGTTACCACTGTTCCGCCAGGAGAGCATACGCAGCCTAGGTCTCAGCAGGGTGGTGTGGGATCAAGATTACAAAGAAATTGGTGTTGTGGTGTTGCAGGAGATGCAGGAGAAGCCCAGTGTTCATTTGTGTGTTGTGCTGCAGGAATCTGGACGTGAAACACCATCTTCCACTCGAGCATCTAGTGTGAATGGGACAGACGACGAGAAAGCATCACATGGTGGTCCTGCTGAGGCACATCTCAAGTCTGAGAATGATAAATTAAAAATTGCTCTAGCCCAAAGGTGAAGTTCCTTTAATACCTAAATAGCATTGGAATAGCATGCTGTAATTATCTGATGGCTAATGATATTAACAGAAATTATTCAAATGTAATTGCATTAATTTAAAATGATGCAGCAGAATGGATGAGTGAGCAGATTTTAGCAAGAACCTCCCGGTATCCAGTTGAGAGATGTTTACCATTTAGTTTTTTCCTAATGTAGTTCGTGATGAAATAAGATCTCTTTTATTCTGCTGATGCCAACTCTTATAACCACCTTCGTTTGTGAAGTTTTAGAGCTACAGAAATAACATTAAAGCCATGGGGGAGCAATTGCTTCTGATAACATGAAGCCAATCTCTTCTTCCTCTTTGAGTTTGCTACATTTACTTTGATGAAAATAGATATGGATATTTAAAATTATAAAAGGGAGTGAACTCAACTTTAAAAAGTTGAAGTGAGAAACAGAATTTCACTGGGCTGCCTAGAAGTCTTAGGGGGATGTTTCTAAAGCTGTGGACAGTGCCCCTTGAAGTGACATTTTTTGCTATTTGCTTTGATAAATTATTTGAAAATGCTGAGAAGAGCAATTTGCAGCTGTAGTGAAAATACAGGCATTGGAATATGCAAAGTTATGACATTAAAATACCATAATTCTCTGCTGGGATCTTGCCTTGTCTGCCTCTTGCATGTGAATATATCTGTGAATGGAAAGAAAATATAACAGGATCAAGCTACTCTTAAAGAGCTATTTAAAAAATAAGGCAGCAGCATAAGCAGCGTTACCCAGTGAGTAATGCTAAGGTTGCATATATTACATTTGAAGTACATCGTCTCTCTTTATTGACATTTCAATAGCGTAACCTATTTCAAGTCATAACGTTTGCTCATTCCTCCTGCTTATGCCACCTCCACAGGCAAGTAGCACCTAGCACGCAGGGAGTTTCAAAGCCTTCCTTCCATTCACTCTCTAATCTCATGCTCTATGCTGCAGCTTGAAGCTTTGGGGAATGAGCAGTTTAGTTCTTCAGCATTATGTAGCACTTTTATATTTAAGGCTGAGCATTAAAAACCATCAAATATAGGTAGTGTCAACCCCCTGGCATCTTCTGTTCTGAATTATTGTGCCATCTACAAATGCATGGAGTGCTTTGTTGCACGGGTGCCGTGTCCCCAGGCCTGCGCTGCAGCGGGTGCTCAGCGAGGCACAGCCGCGCCGCTCTGGAGGTGAGCGCAGACCGTGCGCAGCGCCGGGGTGCACACCCTGTTTGCAGACGGTGGGGATCCCAGCTGTCAGCTTAACCCTAGGGCTTAACCCTACCTTTGGCAGCAGGACTTTTGTTCCAGAAGCGCAGGTCACTGTTGCTGGAGTTGCTAGATCCCCTTGTTTTGGCAGAGGCAGTCAAATTAAGGCTTATGTTCTCCTTAGCCGGGCAATGGCTGGGGGCGAGTACGTACATCTGGGTATGCCTGATCTTACACCAACAGATCATTGGTAAACACGCGCCATGGTGGTGCTGTTCGGTGGTGGTGGATGAGTTTGCAGTCAGGTAAAGAGTAATGATACGCGGGATTATAAGGTGAAGCTACCTAATGGCACCCTGGTTTTCTCAGTTCATCCAACGTGAAGAAGTGGGAGACGGAGCTACAGACGCTGCGAGAGAGCAACGCCAGGCTGACCACGGCGCTGCAGGAGTCCGCGGCCAGCATCGAGCACTGGAAGAAGCAGTTCTCAGCATGCAAAGAGGAAAACGACCAGCTCAGGAGCAAGGTAGCAGAGCATACCCACAGGACAGCCATCTCTTCCAGTTAGCTGCTCCTGCCATTGCTCTTTCTCTTGGATTTCTGCTGCTTTAGCTTTGTGTGTGTTAGGAGACGGATTTTGTCTTTGAAAGGGAAGTGGATGAGGGGGTTAAGGCAGCTGCTTCCCTCTGCGCACAGCAGGCAGGGAAGTTGAAAGGGCTGAGGACTGGTGCTGCCGCATCACGTGAAGCTCCCTGCATCTTGATTTGGGAGACTTGGTGTCGGCAGGGGTTGCTGGCCAGGATGGTAAAATAGAAGGGTTTAAAAGTGGGATTACTATTGCATACCCCTTTCAAAGCTCACTTAAATACTGCCAGATGATGAATGATGAAGGCAAGGTTATGGCGTGGTTACCCACAGGAAACCAAGCTGGGAACCACCCAGTATTAGAAGCAAATCCCAGCGGTGGGCAGGGGAATGAGGACGTGAGTTATATCCCCAGCACCGCAGGCTATGAGCTGGGTCCTCCAGTGCTAACGCTGGGCACATCTCATCCAGAAACCTGCCAAAAGGCATCATCAAAAGCCTTTTCCCCTCCGTTACTGAGCACAGCATTTCTCAGTAGTGTAAGACTGAAGGTGAGCAGCGGCTACAGCAGAGAACAATTGAGAAGTTAAAATTTTTAAAGCCTCAGTTTGAGTATTCATTGGTACTGTCCCTCAGATAATACAGTGCTGTCTTGTAACAGCCCCACACAGGGTTGGCGCCAACCTGAGCACGGGGAAGCTTGGTTTCCATGGGCACTGCTCACAGAGATAATTTCACTCTGTTCATCTTAAATGTCTTTGAATAATCTGGACTCTTTACCTGCTCGCTTAGATGGGACGTTTGGTGTTGAGATCAAATTGTATCAGTCTGGTGAGGATTTTTTTGTTGTTTAGTGTTTGCTTTCAAAGAGGGAAGGAATTTCGTATCTTTTCATATGTCAGTAGACTGCAAACAGTATTTCAGCATTGGAGGTGGCCTGGGTTGCCTGTCAGCACTGAAATTCCATGTGGAGCAACCTTTTCCCCAGGCAGATATTCTCTATTTGCATGTATTTTAGGTGTGCACGGTGATAATTCAGAGATCAAACCAGGGCTGTGTTAACCGATGTTACATTAACACATTCATATTAGTTGTTACATGATTTGTGTTCCTACATCCAGTCTCTTTTGGATAGGGGAGAAGTGAGAGACTAGAACAGCGTGTTATAAAATAGCATAATTTACAGGGTAGTTTTCTACTTTTCTATACTGTTGCAAAATTGTTCTCATTAACTGAGGAAACGTGCCACGTCTCAGTAGCTGTAGCTTAGATATGAGGAGATTATCAAAACACTGCCTTACTACAGCTGCAAAGTCATTGTACCGGTGGCTAGCCAGACTGTATAGCAACACTGTCTGTATAATGTGCTGTCTTATTCTGTGCAGAGAGGTTTTCTGAGCTTTTCCCCCAAGTAGGTTCCTTGCTTGGTGCTCATGCTGCACTACTGCAGCGCCCTGGGAAGTTCCTTCTCCTTTATTAATTGGGTCAGAATTTTTTGCATACTGCTCTACCTTCAAATGAGGGAAGCTGTAATCCCAAAGCAACAAGAAGCTGAGAATTAAAGTACATACGTTAATGAGCTGGCCCATCGGCCTGTGGGAAGTGCATCTCCTGGGAGCTAAGTCCAGAGCTGGCAGGAGGAGGTATGGAGAGAGCAAAGCACGTCTCTGGGCGAGAGAACAAAGCGGTGCACGTTGCTCTGAACTGGTTCTTCCCCCAAAGTTTTGATGTTGTGTCCCTCATACTCCAGCTAGAATAATAAGCAACCCCTGAGGACGCAAGGCTGGGAGCACTGGAGAGATTTCTTCTCTTTCTGCATTAGGAAACCCCATCCCTTATAGTCTTATGTTGGTTTCATAGAAATGAAGTGCGGATTTTATCCCCGGCCCCACTTATTGTAGCAGCTCAGTGTTTTGTGCATTCTGGAGTAATTATATGAGATGCTGTGCGAGAGGAAATAAACACAGTCCCAGGACTTCCTAGTGGATGTGTAAATTGGCTCTTTTTATGGAAAGAAGCGATAATTTTGTTGCAGTGAATCAAATGCTATAATCTAGGAAACAGATCCATGACAAATTAAAATTGTCCGTGCTTCCCTCTGCTCAGTGGAGCAGTGCCCATTTACATCAGCCACGGTCTGCCCCAAATTTCCAGAAGTCTGAAAAATTTCACCTAATGTCTGACATTTCTTAAAGATTGAAGAACTGGAGGAACAGTGCAATGAAATAAATAAAGAGAAGGAAAGAAATGCGCAGCTGAGTAGACGTCTCCAGGAACTGGAAACAGAACTTCAGGACAAAGAGCTGGTAAGTGCCCTGGACAAAGAAATGGCATGCTTTAGAGTTTGAGTGGCTGCGTTGGCTTCTCACTTGGGATGTAGATTTATGGGCTGACTCACCTACAGCCGGAAGAAGCCCAATGTCTCAGGGTGTCACCCATTTCTAGATCTTCCATTTTAGCAATAGTTTGATAGAGTTCCTCAGTCTCAATTTCATGACGTGTTGTGCACTGTGACAGCACACTTTAATTTGGCAGTGGTTAACAAACATGATACTTTTATGTATACAACACTTTTCTCCTAATAGAAGAGCTGGAGTGGTGAACAAGTTATCCAAAGCCAGACAGACGTATGCTGAGAACAGATTCAGTCGCCAGTCCCCATCTCCTGAATTCCCGCAGACATCAGGAGCATCATTAAAAAGATGTAATTTACAAAATAAATAACCTGGTGTTTGTGTAACAAGTCCTGTTTCTTTGTCCGGGTGGCTCGTAGTCTTCAGCTTTGCCATTTTACAGTCTCCCTCTGATCTCAGGACTAATGCCAAGAGTGAGAAATTCAGATTCATTTGAGTACCCCAGTTTGTCATTTTTGACATACAGGGTGTTCATTTTTCTGCAGAGAATGATGTTGATGGCTTGGAGCCCCTGAGCAGTGGGGAAAATAATGGGATCCTTGGTTTTTTCCTTCATTACGGTGACCAAATGGTCTGTGCTGGCTGAAGAGAAAAAGCTGTCAGCAGGTGCAGTAAAGTTTGCCATGTGCCATTACAGCATCTCTGCTGGTGCTCTTAACAGCACTGCTGTTAAGGGGTTTTAAGATGGCACAAGGAAATAGTTTAGGGAGATGGATTTTGATGCACTGTTACAAATATAATATGTTTTTCAGCCCCATATTTCAAAGGAAAATGTCATGCTTTCTTCCCAACCTTTCTGTGGTAATAGCATGTATAATAACCCTTATTATCTGCTAGCGTTTTCCTCAAGATTCACATTTTTACGGTACTAAATGAACCAGAAAATTGATTGACTTGTGAATATTACATGCCTATCTTCCATTTACACTGACAATATACTAACTTGTTTTCAGACTGCATACTTACATTAGTAGGTTCTTGATTAGGTTTAAACCACCCATAAGTAACCTTTTCATGGTCTGCAATTCAAACCAGCACGACGCCTGCTCATGGACGTTGCCATGTAAGAGGAGCTGCTGATACCCTCTTCATGCAGGAAATGGAGGGAAATTTTAAGACACGGGGTCAGGACAGAGCTATCTAGTGAAATATTTATATTTATATACATACCATGTGCCATGTGCCATATAGCATATATATAGTATGTGTATATATATATATGCACATGCTGTATTATACTATATATAGTAAGTATACAGTATAGTAGTGTGTGTATATATATAGGAAGTATATCTAGTATAATATATTTATATTTTGAGATCTGAGCCCCCGGGCATTATTTATGTATATACAGATATATATGTACAGGAATCAGCGGAACTTGAGGCAAAACCATTATTGTCTGGTTCTGTGGAAGAGCTTGGCTTATGGATTCTGCTACACTCACATTGTGCTGTAAGGTCGCCTGCTAGGCAAGAAATCGTATTTCGTAGCCAAGAAATCTGCCTTTCAGATAGGACTGGTTTTGCTGTCCTGTGTCAGTACAGCTCAGAAAGGATATACCCCTGGTTACTCTTGAGACCATCACCTACATGGGCAGTTTCTGGAGGAGGCTCTTGCACTCTCTTCAAGTCACAGAGTTTCTCTTGGACCTGCAGATGTGCTTTTCCGGACGCTTTGACAATCCTTCTGTAAAATGTACGGGCTTGCTTCGAGTCTTTTCCTACTACCCACATTGGTGGTGGTTGTTTGTGGTGTTAATGTATTCAGGTCTCTTAATTTCCATCAGAGACATGGTCTCCTATCAAGTGATGTTGCTCCTTTCATTAACTCCTCTCAGCTAGTCCTCTCAATTTGGATAGTGATGCCAGAACTGAATACAAATTTTGGGGGCGGGGGGTGTCTCAGAGTTGTCCAGTGGAGGAGAGCCCATTACAGCTGTGCTCTGTAATGATGCCTCTGTATGTGCAGCTCATAATGCCGTTCGCCTTTTTTTGCTGCTGTATATCATTGAAAATTCATGTCTAATTTGCTCTTTGCTACCATCTATAAATTGCTTGTAGCATTACAGCCCTTCAGATTCTCTCTTATTGACTATATCTGCTGCATAGGTATGTGTTTTAGGTTAAGATTTCATTGATATAATTAATGGGATTCATGCTAGAGATCGGATTACATTGTCTGTGTTAGAAGTACAAAGACACAAATATAGTGCAAAAATGCATTTTAGTAGAAAATTATCATGTGTTTTGGAATGCAGACATGCTGTTTTGATTATTTGACATCCAAATGCTGTACAGAATACAATAAAATATGCAAAGTCATTTCATATTCTCAAATTTTCATTATGCTTTAAATTGAAGCTTGCATTCATTTTTTTTTCTTTTATGTTTTCAAAGGAACTAGAAGAGCTCCGAAAGCAGGGTGAAATTATACCACAGCTAATGTCAGAATGTGAATCTGTATCTCAACAATTACAGGTACAGTTTAGCAACAAAATTAATTTTAAAATAGTTGATACATTTACTTTCTTTCTCCTAACTATATGCTTTTCTCTGTTCAGACTTGGGTGAAGGCAAAAGAGCTGCAGTTTGTAAAAACAAAAGATGCTAATTACGTGCAAAATCCACTGTGCCCTTCCCAGCAGAGGAGTAATTAAATAGCTCCATTTCTTTGCCTTGCTCTTTGCGGAAATTAGTTTGCTTGGGATCGTGTTGCGTCTGTCTCCTGCAGATTCCAGGCTATCCTGTATCCCATATTTCTGCTGCTCTGGGCTTTTGGAGCCGCCCCGCAGCCATGTGCATCGAGCAGCACTGCAGGACCTGCAGCTGATTGCCACAGTGGCACTAGGGAAGGCTTTTTGGAAAGAAGCAGATGAGCGTAGCTGCCTGCCACCAGGGAAGAATGTTCACCTGAGGATGCATTTATGCATTTTTAGTCTAGTCTACCCTTGACTGGTTTAGAGTAGACTTGGTAGTGTAGGTTAATGGTTGGACTGGATGATCTTAAAGGTCTTTTCCCACCTAAACGATTCTATGATTCTATGATTCTATGTGCTGCGTCATTCCTTTCCAGCAACGCCTGGCTCTCGCTGTGGCTTGGTTTTGCACATGCGGCTCCTCTGCTGGGAGGTGCTCGCTCTGAGCGGAGCCGGACGGGTGCGGGAGCCCTGCCCTAGCTGGAGGCTGGGCTTTGGGCATCGGTTGTTAAAGTCAGGGCTTGTGTAAGTACAACAACTTGAAACATGAAGGGAGAACAAATATGAGCAGTCTCATCAATGAAATCAAATCCAATAAATCAAGTAAGCCATCACTCTGATAATCTAAATGAAATAAAATCATTTAGAAGGCTGCTGAGGAGTGTAGATGCTGAAAATAGTTAAAATATGCATTTTGTTTGATTCAGTAAGGTAAAATATGTTGTCTGTGGGTTTTGGTGAGAATAAGCATGTGCTTACACACATGAAATGGGGAACAACAGGCAGAAGAGCTAACGAGAGGGGAAAATAAAAGAACAAACTGCAGCAGGGGAAGTGTTACGTGGCTGCCCTTACGTGTTCCTTGCCTGGGTGCTCACATGAACTGGAACTTGAAAAAAATACCAATAAATCCAGAAGTGCTGAATAAAGCAATATTATTCCTCAGGCAGTATTTTCTAAGCTTGTTTTTCAAGGTTAAACCACCATAGATAATTCTGTATGTGATTGGTGGCACAGTGTCTAATTCTGCAACTGTAGCAACGACAGAAATATATGCACAGTACATGATTTAAATCCGGCTGAATTTTAAGATATCAACCAAATGACAAAATCTGATGCAAAGTGTATTTTCCAGTTAATCTGTGTCCTTTCCTGCGTGGGCTTTCTTTCCTTTTAATCTGACTAGCGCATGTCACTTGCTCTCAGAGGTGCTTGTTGTCATCAGTTTGTAGAAGTCGAAGCAAACTTTTACAGCTCGGCTGCCAATTGTTGCTTTACCCTATTAAATGCTGTTCATCCTTCCTCTTTATGATTCATCTTATTGTCTCTTTTAGGCTGCTGAGAAAAAGAACAAAGATCTTGAAGAGAAAGTCAGAACACTAAGGACAGAAGTTGAAGAGAGCAAACATAGGCAGACCAACCTTAAAACTGAATTAAAGAATTTTTTAGATGTACTAGACGGGAAGATAGATGAATTACACGATTTCCGACAAGGACTGTCTAAACTTGGGGTTGACAACTAGATGGCAATAGATTTTTTTGTAATCTAGGATCCAGATGTTTGATGTTTTGTTGATCCCAAACGTGTTTTACAAAATATAACTAGAATGTTCCACTTGTTTGCATTGGTTTTGTACATACAGGCTGAAAATTTGCTGTGGGTTTTTGGGGGGTTTTGTTTGTTTTGTTTGTTTATTTTCCAAACCAATCGTGCTGCTCACTGAATTCTGTTGAGATTAGAAACTTTCTATTTTGCTGCTCTGGCTTCGTGGGGTTGGGAACAGGTAGAGGGTTCTGTCTCAGGAATCTGGAACTAGATCTACCTTAAAATGAATATGCAGTTAGTTGTTGCAGGGAAATTTATATCTTTCTTAAGGGCTGTTGCAACCATAGAAACAGAAAACAAGTCTTTTTCTTGTCCGGACTATCAGCACTCCTAGCAACATCCACATTTATTCCTTGGTGGAGCAGAGAGAAGATTAGCTGGCGCTCCTGCAGTCTGTAAATCAGCCTGGTAAAATGTGCCTGTGATGAGCTGCAGTTAAGTGAATCACTTCACACAGATACCACAGTATCTTTAGGGACCATGTCAGTCAGGCCTGATCCGCAGAACAAAATCCAGTGGACTTCAGATAACCTCCGATACAGGTTGCATGTGCTTGCCTGACCCATGCAGCGCAAAGTCAACAGTGCAGAAATGAATTTCAGCTCTTCAAGTCGTGCATCTTACCCAGTAGGTGAGGACAGCTTCTCTTGCTTAGCAAGATTGTCTCTCTTTGGCCCTGAATTTGGAACCCATATAATTCCATCATTTTGTGCATCTCTGAAAAATGCCCACCTAAGTCTTGGGACCAGATACTTATTTTAAAAAGTGATATGTTGCGGATTTGTACACAGGGCGCATGCACCTCTGTGCAACTTGATCGCTGTTGATTAACTTCCACAGTAGTGAAGAAGGAGACGTTGCTCTGAAGAGCAGTGCAAGGTTACGAGAAAGGGTGTTGCTCAGAAGCAAGTTTCTGCCCAGGAGACTGGCAGGGTCGTGACCACATGAAATCAAAATCCTTTCCTACGATTTCTGCATTCTCATCTCGTGTCTTTGACAGTAGGGTGGGAATTAGTCACCAAGTTAGACCATCCAAAAAAAACCCCAACCCAAAAGGCAGAAATGCTGTTGTAGTCTTGAACTGATTATTCAGCAGCTCTACCAAGTTTTGCTCTTGCCGCTAGGACTGCCTTCACTTTCTTTCTCTTCTTTCTCTGTTGCCTGGTTTGAGAGTCTGTTTACACAGGATCTCAATTAATTCAGGAAAGAATTTTTGTTTATGTGACATCATTATTTGCTTAATTCAGGCGAAAACTTGGTTAAGCACCACGTTAGTGCATTCCATCAGTGACTGATATAAAATGGCCATGTTTTTTTTTTTATTTAGGGGCTTTTTCCTTTTCTCAGCACATCTCAATTATAAAAGTGACCTTTAAAAGAAAGGTGGGTTATAGATGAAACATGCATTGAATACTTTTTGCACATGGATATATAATCCACATGCTGGAGATAGGTTCTGTCTGCATTTGTCCCTTGAATTTTCATTTGATCTGTTACTGTTGTGTTACCTTCGTTGCCTGTTTTTTAGACTGGACTTTGTGTATTTTTGCTTTTACTCCTTTTAAACAACGGATGTGAAGCTGGGACCTTTCATAACCGTTATGACCATTTAAGTCTTTAAAAAAATTGCCGTAGGCTGTTGATATTTAAAAATAAAAATAAAAATCAGGTACATAGCATGTAGGCGTGTGAAAATTAGACTTTGCCAGCATGGAAGATTCAACAGTTGCATAATGTGGGGTTAGATTAGTCTTCTCAAAATTGAAAATGACGTCAGAAACTCTGTGTGGTTCTGCACAAGTAATCTCCATTTTTAGTCTTTTTATTTGATAGCAAGTCAGATAGACACCATCATTTAACAAGCAGCTTGTCCTGCTTCTCCTCTCCTCCCATGCTGCTTCAGAGTTCCCAAACTGCAGTTGGTCCCTGCATCAGCTGGGAACCAGGGGACAGCACAGCTAAGAGCTGCAAGCCATACGCTCCTCATCACAGCATTTTATTGCTTGCACATCGAGGACCCTGCTCCATCTTCTGTTTCCTTTTTCCTATTGAGCAGTCTTAGGCCTTCCTTCTTGGTTTTAATATAAAATATAATTTTTAGTGTGATTCTGGGTAGAGGGATGCAAAAGACTCTGCGAACAAATTCATTTATTGGGGTTAATCCAGATTTTTTCCCCCCACTTTAGTCAGGCCTGTCTCAGACGCAGTTCATTAGGCATGCATTAAGCCACTCTTAAATTGCAGGAAAAGTGTTTCTGTGGGATTGCATCGATTTGACAGATGCAGTTTAATACTGGCACATTAAACTAGTGCACAGCTCTGACATGGGTAGTTATTTCTGGGTGCTTTGTGCCCACCAGAGGAACGATGGGGTGTCCTTAGAGGAATCCCTGCTCTGGCTCTTCTAGTCTTGCCCCAAATGTTATGTTTTCCTTATTTGCTATTGCTCTGATGTTGTTAGGGTTGCCTGTACACGGCTATATGCTGTGGAAAACTCCACCCTTCAAGCATCCAAAGGTCTTGCTATAATTGCCACCTTTCTCTCTTTTTCCTCCCCAACAGTAGTAAGTTGAGAGCTTCTACGTATAATCACTTAAAAATTTCCCCTAAACTCCATCTCTTTTAACCTTTCCCTCTCTTTCATTTTACTTTTTCTCTTCAAAAGCCAAAAGCACTCTAGGAAGCGGCAGTGCATGCTCTCAGGAGCGTTTGGATGCCAGCCGCAGCTCCCGTCTCCGGCCTGGCCCCGTCCCTGCCCCAGGACTGGATCCCTGCGCGCCTGCTGCGGGGGGACCGTCAGTGTCCCACACTGCTTATTGCTTGATGCTCTGTGGGGGCCCAGCAATAACCCCTGCGTGCCAAACTGTGAGCCCCACACTGCTCCTCAGGGACTTGGCCCGGCGTCGAAACCTTCTTCCCTCCCAGCAGGAGCACCGGCACGGTGGGACTTCCCCCGCCAAAATGCCCACACCGTCCTACGCACGTCTTTGGTCCTCCTTTTGTGCACGTTGGGGATTCAGCCCATGCCAGGAGCTGCGCTCTGTTTGGGGCCGTCCCCAAACACTGCCGGGGCCAAGAACTCCTGATCCCTGTCCAAGAAAGGGTCTGCAGAGCTTGATTTTATGTGTCATTAAAATGCAGCACTGTACAAACCCTGGTTTCCCCCCGCCATCAGCAATGAAGTAGGTCATCGCTCCATTTCCACCGAGCCTGAGCAGAAGTGTCTTTATACGAGGTTGTATCTCGCCTCGGGCAATCACGGGTTCCCTTTCCGGGCACAGGTTTCTCCCTCTAAGTGGCTGATGGCAGGATCTATCCTACCTCAGTTACATGGTCTTTTGTTAATAAAGGTCTTGTGCTTGGCACTTCCCGTGCCGATACCTGCCGGCCACGCCGCCGCGGATCCCACCACGCTGCCCATCCTGCCTGTCCGGCCCCGGTGGCATCGACAAGCTGGTGGCCCTGGGAGCAAAAATCTGTGCTGGCCTCTTGTGACACCAGGTTAGAGAGAGTCTTACTGCTTGCTGGGCTTTCCAGTGAGACGCTCCTTTGAGCTGGTGTTAGAGCTGCTGAATAATGGTGGGGTTTTTTTTTCTGATGGCTAAAATGAGAAATAGAGGTCCATTTCATACTAGCACAAAACCTAAAAATATTCAGTGACATAAAAATATGTTGAGATCATTGTTTTCAAGAGGAAAGAGAAATTCATTAGATATGTTCTTTCACATTTTGGAAAATGACCTTAGCCTCATCTGTGGAATAAATTATTTCAAAATGAAAAACTGAAACATTGTTTCACACCCCAAAATAAAACGGGTTAACCTTTTGCTTTTTTCCTATTTGGCTGAATCTTTATTTGCTGATTGTGACTTAACATCACAAGTACTTTTGTTTGGCCTAAAAGTGCGTTTTCAGCTAAATTAGTACTTTCCAGTGTTTTTCTATGTCTTATTTGGTGTCTCCTTTACTAAGTGAGTTCACTGGAAGAAAACTGTCTTTTCTGTAAGAAATTCAGTGCCACCTCGCACTTGCTATATCCTAGTGTTCAAAAGATGCTCTTTTTAAAAATAGTTTTACACTGAGTGCATCTGTGCCCAGAAAACCAATTTTATTTAGACAATGCCTTTTTTTCTAGGTAAACACCTGATTTCATTGTTATGTGAGTGATTTAGGGTGAACATTTTTTTAAAGCTGCTCAATGAATTAAGGAGAGCGGGAAGGGTTCCTGCTGTTCCTCCTGCTGCCCCTGCCACTGCCATTGCTTTCGAAGAGCATCAGCAAAAGCATTTGCGGTGGTAAGGCAGGTGCTCGCCTTGTGCTCGTCCTGTGTTTGCTCGGTGGCTCGCCAGGCGCAGGGAGCCCCTGCGCCCCGTCCCCCCCTCAGCGGGGCACAAATTGTCCAGAGGCTTCTGCACTCTTCCGTTGCACTGGTTTTTTCCCAAGCGTTCGTTTTCTCCCTTATTAATTTCTTGCCACCTTTGGCTGCTTCATGAACGACTGAAGGAAAATTCTGCATGACTGCCACTGCCTCGTAGTGGTGAGAGTTTCTCAGCTACAAGGCCGTGCTCGTCGTTAGGCTCTTCTGAATAGTTATCTCTGCAAAACCCTTCAAAGCATCAGTGGCTTGTAAGGAATATAGCACTGTCTTCCTGAGCCTATGGATTAGCAAGGATAAAACCACTATCCAGGTGAAACGCCCCACTCGGCTTATTGCGTGACTGATTCTGAATCCCAAGGGAAGGGGTGGAAGGGGGGCTCGGACAGCAGCAGCTAATTTTGATGATCATTTCAGCAGAAGCTTTGGTGAAAGATGTGCTATGCCCACAAGCTGTGGATGCACCAAAGGTAGAGGATGGCTGCACTGAACCGTCAGCTCATCCGCCTTTGCCCGGGCAGTTCTGGGCTTGTCAAGCCTGTGACTATCAGAAAGTCCTCAGCATATCACAAATGTGCCAGTGTGAGAGATGAAAGGCAGATATCCGCGCAGACAGCTGAGCAGCGCTGGTTTATGGTCAGACACTTTCAGTCAAAAAGCAGAAAAGCTATTGCTGACTTACGTGGGCTCAGCAGTACCAGAGACCTTGCAGCAGGGCAGGTTCAGCTTTCGGGGGGCTGCGAGGACTCCCAGGCTGGGCTGGCAGCATCTGGCTGTGGGCACGATTTAGCAACGGTAAAGCACAGAGCTACCCTAAGGTAATTTTTCTTTCCGTGGATCATGCTCAAGAAGCACCTGTGCGTCAAGCAAAGCAATACGTAGCCACAAGACATTTAATCCAGACACACCTCCAGACGGAGAGCCCCAGCTGGCCGACACAGCCTGGCCGGGGATGCTGCGCCTCGAGTCCTGCACCCCTGGGGGCTTGGCAGT